CGTGGAGCAGCATGCCCACGCGCACAACTGCAGCGTGTACTCGTTTTATACACATTTGAAAAAAATGCCTCTTGTTATTTTAGCTTGCCGACCCCTGGTTGAGCGGCTGCTTGTGTGTCGTGGGCAGGCGCTGGCAGAGGAGAAGGTGGCGATGGAGCGGAGCTCGAGCAAGGCCATCTACGTGAACGTGGCCGTCAACGTCCTCAAGAAGCTGCGCAACCAGGGCAACCCGAGCCCAGCCCGCGCCCCCGGTACGGCCTCCCGCCAGGAGTCTGCACCCAGTACGCGCTCGTTGGCTCGTTAATGTGAGTTTGTTACGCGCCGAGCGAGTTTGTTTACCTGCGTTCTCTCCCGTCGGCGCACCGCCCTCAGCCATGTCGCTGAGCCGACGGCCACTGTCCCACGAGGCTGTACTAGGTGGGAAGATGGCAGCCAAGGCCAGCTTCACCATGAACCTGTACGGCAAGGGGCAGCCACTGGAGAGCCACCTGGACGGTGAGGCGTACGGTACACCCCATGTCGTCGGTTCCCTGGCACCAGGGCTTAATTTTCAACCGTGTCCGTCCAGGTCAGCGACCTGGAAAATACAGCAGCACTCGGCACACCAACTCCTGTATACCTCGCTCTATGAATGGCTACGTGCCACCTACTGCAATCTACCGGCAACCCAGACAATATTCATTGAAAAAATGCCTTTCAAGCTTGCTGTGATGATGGTTAAGATCGGGAGAAACCCACGGGGAAGGAGCGCCGTGACGATGGCAGCGGTTTGCCGCACACCGATGCAAATGTACTGAAGTGTCACATCGTGCGTGCGTGCGTGCGGCCACACAGAGAAGTCGCTGTTCCAGCGGCTGAGCGCGTACTTGCTGACGGAGGAGCAGCTCCGTGAGAACGGATACCCCCGGCCTGACCCGGAGCGCTGCAGTCGAGCCATCCTCTTTACTGCCGACACCAAGACGGCCAACAAAGACCGTGAGCACCCCCCACCGCTGCCCTCTCTCCCACCTCGCACCTCCGGTTAGCGTGGTTGGTTACGTACGGTGCGAAAAGTTAAATGTACGTATGTACACGTGCGGTTCTCGAGTAAGGTAGTGGTGGGGGATGCTTCTGGTAATATTGCGTCACTTTACGTTTCCTTCCCTCAGACGAGAGTGTAGCCTCACACAATTTGTAGTCACTATGCTTGTCGATAAAAATCTAGTATCTTCGTTTCACAATTATTATATTAGTTTAAATTTATTGCAAAATGAGGTTCCCATGTGGTCTTAGACGGCAGAGCACTGAGCTGGGGACGTCTGGCGACATCGTAGGTTTGAATCCAGGCAGCCCCCCATGATTAAACTCGGAGCTCGTGTTTAATGTTTTAATTAGTTTCCCTTTTTGTGTTTGTCGATGATCACCTGAAGGGCTGTGGGCCATTTTCTAACGCAAAGAGTTGCATTGCCCTGCAAGAAGTCTTAATGAATTATTCGTCTCAAACTGATGCCGATAGCATCATGAGGATATGATTGGGGGAACATGTTGAAACGTAAATAAAATAACATTTAAAATAAAATAGAGAAGCCCTGGATTTGTTGAAGAGATGGCTTGGCTACGGCACCGTGTAACTCATAATGAGGCCCAGGATCAGGTGCTTGGCCAGGAAGCTCTTCCTAGTGGGTGTCCTCGCCAGGTGGTGCGTGCTACTTCAACATGGAAATCCCATGAAACACAAAAGTCTTGGGCAGTAGCCCCATGAGCCCATGGTTTAATGTGTGTCCCTACCCCGATTTTGCCTGCCCCAGCCCTGATGAGGATCTGCTGCCGTTGTGGGGCCTCCTACTCCGTGAACCTCAAGGGCGACTACCTGAGGCGGGAGGAGTGTACCTACCACTACGGCCGGGCATGGCGGCAACGCGGTGGGTATCGTCCGTCCTCTTCCCCGCGCCCCCCTTCACTCCCTCTCGCGTGACAATCCGGCCGGTTGCATCATGGTCGTAAGCGCTCGACGCTGACGCCGCCTTAACCCCCCCTCGCCTCCACCCCCGCATGTCTCGCTCGTGTGTGGGCAGTGTCGGGCGGATGGGAGACGCGCTACAACTGCTGCCAGGGTAGCGTGGGCTCGCCAGGATGCCAGGTCGCCAAGGTACACGCGCTGCTCGGGTTGGCGCTGCGGCCGGTCACGTTTCCGACTTTGCTTGAGCCTCGCCCGAGCTGACGTGCGGCTCTGTGCTCTGTTGCAGTGCCACGTGTTTGACGGGCGCAAGGAGAGCCTGGAAGGCTTTGTGTGCACCATCGCCAAGTCGCCGGTGCCCGACAGGATCCCAGGCCTCTACGCGCTCGACTGCGAGATGGTACGCGCGCCCGGGCCGGCACTCCCCGTGGGTGCTGTCTTCGCGCCGGCCGTGCGTGCTAACCGCGTGGCGCGCGTGTTTGTGCAGTGCTACACTAAGCAGGGCCTGGAGCTGACGCGCGTCACGGTGGTGGACTGGCAGCTCAAGCCCGTCTACGATACCTTCGTGTTGCCCGACAGCGAGGTGGTCGATTATAACACCAGGTGAGCCGTGCCGCCAAGGCCCACCGACGCATGCCGCCCCCGTGCTTCACGTAACTCTTGCAGCTACTCGAGTTGCTGATTTTACCAAAACAGAAAATAATTCGTTCTTGAATCAAATCGTATCCTTGAATTGTGAATTATTTTAAACTGCGATGGAGATACGTTATAATTTTATTCGACAGCAGCGTCAAAATTAGCTTGGGTTGGCTGCCCTCCACCAAACTGCGATAACTGCTGCTTTTCTTTATTCGAAAGCTGTTTACAAATTCGACTCTGCATTTTGATCAGAATTTTGGTTGTCCTCGTTTTAAGGGTGATATTACCAGCACCAAAACCCTGCCGTGAAATGTGTCCTTGCGCGCGCCCTCCGTGCTCGCAGGTTTTCAGGCGTCACGGAGGAAGACCTGCGGGACACGACCACGACCATCCGCACCGTGCAGGCCGCGCTGCTCAGCCGGCTGAGCGCCGACTCCATCCTGCTCGGGCACAGCCTCGAGAGCGACCTCTTCGCCCTCAAGGTTGGGAACGAGAGACGGTGACGACGACGACGACGTTTTCGCCCGGACGCTCACCTCCAGGCCCCATGCTTGTGTTTTGACTGCCCTTATAGCGGCTGCCGTCGGCCCCCCCCCCCCCCCCGTGACCGTACGGCTACGGCATTAACCCTGGCCGCGGTGTGTGCACCCCCCCCCCGTCCCGCATGCAGATTATCCACAGCACAGTGGTAGACACGGCCGTAGTGTTCCCACACCGGATGGGTCCTCCCTACAAGCGCGCGCTGCGCACGCTCATGGCCGAGCATCTCCAGCGCATTATACAGAACGACGGTGAGTTCATGTCGCCAGCGGCCACGGTCCTGTCGGCACGGTCGGCGTGGACCCCCCTGCCTTGCCCTGCCCTGTCCCGTGGCCCCTGGTGTAATTGCACTGGCTGCATACTTGATCGTTATGCCCCGTTCCTCAACGTGCTCGGCCTGCGTCTGTTGACTCGGCGTCTGGAGCGCTGTGCGGTTACACTGAATGGCCTTTCGCGGGGTTGGACAAATCCCTTTGGTCTTTTTCAATAGAAAACATTCTTAGAAGCATCGCTCCACAATTGAATTATTTAATTTGTATGCAAACATGAGTAACGTGACTCCTGTTCGTCTGTGCGCAGTGGGAGGTCACAACTCTACCGAGGATGCCGCCTCTTGCATGGAACTGATGATATACAAGATCAAGGAAGACGCCAAAGTAAAAAAATAATAATCTTACAGCAACTGCCTCTGCCTCCGTCCTGGCTGCATCATTCCATGACTGATGGCTCTCACCCCTCTACACCATCCGATCGTCGATCGAAGATGGGAGCAAGGCTCAATTTCTCTCCGAATATTTTCCGGGTCGCGAGTCGACTGGAGTAGGTGGCACGTGACTAGGAGCCGTAGCCATAGCAAGAGGTATCGTGGATGCGGTGTGTCGGGTGTGGAAATATATTCCGTGTCGCCAACTCGCACAGATCCGCCCGAAGTAAAGCCCTGGGTAGGAGGGTGGCGGAGCACCAGCTCCGTGCATCGAAGGGGGATGGCGTTGCCCGCACGGTCGGCGTGGCATACCGAGGTGACCCTGCGCCAAGCCGAGGGGGACTGGCTCTGCTTCCAGAGTGGCTCTCCCGATACTTGAATGGAATTCCCGTGGAATCGGAGATTTCGTGGGCATCGCTGACCAAAAGCAATGGAGTTGTGCTGCTCTGCTTGGAAACAGTGCATGGTGACAACATCCGCCTGCGCCGTCACCTTGCCAGGGGCTGACATGCACACGACCCTTCACTCTGCGAGCACAGAGCCTGAAGAGACAGGATTTTTACGGACTCGTATGTCATGAATGCACTCTTCACATGGTGCTCTTAGGGAACCGTTGTGCACGTATGTTACCACGAAGCTTTTTTTTGGGGTTCTGAAAAACCCGCTCCCAATATGTACATCTTTTTCCAAGGGTGAGGAAGATTAAATACTTAGGATGTCTCAGTATTCTTGTAATTCGCTGGACGGGTGGCTGCTATGCTCGATGTGTGAGTGAGGAAGGCACCTTCTCAACGTCCCGAGGGACTTTTCACCGCTTGTTTTAGTTTGTCATGTGTCACGTGAATCTGTAAATGCCACTAATGGCACAAACGTGCTTTGTGTTGGAGTCTACAGTAAAACTAATTTCAGTTTTGCTTATAAAACGATGCTCATGTAATACATGTCTGTAAATAAAGTGAAGTGGCAATGTTAAATGGACTAATGGCCACTTAATGCTGGGGAAGGGCACTTAAAAAAATATTCCTTTCAAATTCATTTCCTCCAATCCACTCTTGCTAAATATGAGGTAGAACGTCGATTTCATGATGGCTTTTATCCCTAAGAAACGCTTCATGGAAAATCCATGATTGTATTAAAACATGAAACGCGGTGGAAGGTCGATACCACACAAGGCCCAAAATATTAGACAGTTGCAGTTTAATACTTTTATTTAGGAACGCTTTACAACCTTTTACAAATAAACCAGGTTTAAATTGAACACAAAGCCTTGCAACACGGGCATCAACAATCAGCACAGACCGCCAATGCGGCACTCAAACGCCCATGAACCCCAAATGACATGTACATCAGCTGGTGTCGGCTATTATCAAGAGCCGGGCTGCCTCAGGGGTGAGACACTGAGCTGGCAACACCAAAACCGCAGGGTTAAAATCTGGAGAACTGCTAACGATTAAAATGGGGCCTCGGCCTGGTTGCTAGTGACTTGGCACACAAAGCCATCACAGCAACATTGGTGTTTTCACTAAATTTTGCAAATAGAAAAAATATCGGTTTGATAGCTACACGACAAAGATTTCTCTGTAGCAGCATGGGAAAGCGCACAGCCACCCCCCCGTTGTATGGGGGGGGGGGGCAGTTCTGCAACTCTCTCCTCCCAAGGACTATTCCCCAATACACAGGGTGATACACTCCGTGATGCAGATAGCGCAATTTTAATTTCAGGGAAAGCACAAAAACTTTTAAGATGTTTTTGCAACCACCAAGCTGTGTTCCATAGTGTTGATGAATAATTTCCACCCAGATCGAGCTACACCCTTTACTCACCCCCCACTCCAAAACCCCTCGCTCTTGCCAACCCCTCATCGCCTCTTGCTCTTCATCTTCTGCCGAACGGTTTTCCCAGGCCTCTTGTTCTGCAGGCGCAAGGAGATACAGACACACGGTCACACACATGGAGTCGCGTGCAAACACACCACCGCACACGCGCAGAAATGCACGCACACAAACACACAGCCGGTCAACTGTGCTGCATTCCAACGATCGTCGCTCATAAAAAAACTGTGCTCCTCTCCACAGCCCCCAACACCTGGCCAGGCACAGGCATCTCACCTCGCGGACCGAACCGAGTGTCTCACCTTGCCCATATTGCCGGCGGCCTTGCCGGTCCTCCCACGCGGTCCCCCCTCGCGGCCGTGCGCGGTGCGCGAGCGGAAGCCCGAGACGTCGTCCACGCTGTCGCGCGTGTTCCGCTTGTTGCCGCGCTTCTTCCCGCCGAAGCCGAACTTCTCGTTCTTGTAGCGCCGCTTCGAGTTGGGGCTGCACACCGCAAACAGAAAGCATTCGCGTGAGATTTGAGCGTGGGTATGTGCGTGTACGAGCATGCGCACCTGTAACTAAACGTCAGCTGCAGCGTGCACAGGGCCGTGGAAGCGTGGCTCCCCCCCCCCACCCACCCAATGTGTGTAACGACGCCAAATGGATTCCTCATGTTAAGTCCATCAAATTGCGTACATTGAGAATGTATTTGATGCGTACGTGTTATACGCAATTAGTCTACGTGACCCGTTATGGCGAGAAGTCCCAGAAATCAGGACAATCCATTCACTCGTCACCGTGCCATGATTAGCCGTGGTGACGAACCTGCACGATGGCGGAAGACCCGGTGTAAAACAAGCACAACCAAACAAACGAGAGCTGCTTGCGGTTGTAGGGCGGACATCTCGGACTCGTTGATGTACGTGTACGAGATGCTGGGCCCAGAGATACTCAGTAACGTGGATGACAAGCTGGGACGCCGCCGCCGCCTCCTCCTCCTCCTAGGCCGGAGAACGGGGATGAAATGTGTTTTTCCCGAAACACGTCGGGATACATTTTCACTCACTTTCTCTTCTTGTCCTTCCCCGCGGCGGACGGTTTGTTCTGCGTCCTGGCACCTTCTTTGTCGGCCTCCAGGAAATCCAGCTTGTCCGTCACTCCTGGGGGCGAGAGACGTCGCGGCGGCGACGCCGAGGCATGAAACGACCGAGCGAGGGAACGGCGAGACCACAGACACGCACATCGACGCCAACACGAGAGCACGCACGCGTGTGTGTGTGTGGGACCGGCAAGAAGCGAGCAACGGAAATCGTAAAGAAGCGAGCGACGGAAATCGTAAAACACCTTTCTTGTATTTCTTGAGCGATTCCATCATCGACTTCTTCTCCTTCTGCCTCTGCTGCAGAACCTCAACTTGCACCTGCGGAACGAGAGAAACCAAAAATCGGCCTCCCGAGAAGCGGCAGCCATGTGTGTGCGGCCCATTGCTAGAACAACGCATGTGTCCGTGAGCCGCCTTTTATCAAAGCGCTTCTGGATGAGGGCCCTCCCCGCACCGCACAAGTCGCGGCAGCTATTTGACCATACCTTACCACACTGCTCAGTGCGGGTCGTAGCCACAAAAACAGGTCGCCAAGTTCATAAGGACGCTGCTTAACCCAGCACACGCCGCCACTCCACCCAATCAACTATAAATTGATGGAAGCCATCCTCTGTTGAGTGGCCTTGGCTGCTACGAGAGGACACTTCTGGTGTGGAATGAGGAGGGGTGAGGGTTGGGCGAGGCAGATGTGGAGAGCTGGTTCAATAATCTGCCTCCTGACAAACTGGCAGATGCCACGTCGCTTTTCCTCGCCAAGTTGGGACCCCCCCTCCGCATGCCAAACCCAGCACGATGCGGGCGACAATGCCGATGACGTCACCTCCCGTCCAGCGACACTCCACATTATTTTCACGATACCCGACGAGCCGATCCATCAGTTGATCGGTGGAGCCACCGACGATTGAAACAAATGAGATGAGAGCGCGACTGATGACGTCGCTGCCGAGTGGGCCTCACCTTCTTGCCGTACTTGCGCAGCTGCCGGAGTTGTTTGGCCTTCTCCGAGCGCTCCATCGCCATCTGCTTGGAAAGCAGCTTCTCCCGAACCTGCCATGGGCAAATGCGGAAGAAAAAAAAGGACACAGCACGGGTTTTTTTTTTTGCGCAAATTTTTTCTGTTGTGCTATCGCCACCTCGTCACGGGACTGTCAATTTGAAAATCTTGCAGCGAGTAGCGCACCACACTGTTGAGGAGAATGGCCTGTGGAAGGCGATACCGCAGAACTTCTTCCGAGATCATTTAAAAGCAACCGATTTTTTTTACTCAATGGAATTAAACAGAAATGCCCCAGGTCACACGCTTGCAAATGAAATTCTATCATGGTCGAGAAGTCTCAGCTGGTTACACAATATAAACTACATCAACACACCAGGAGGACGCTACATTTTCCCACACTGTGCTAGATATGTTTGTTGCATGGCTCACAAACTGAAAATTAGCAATTCTCAGAGCTGATACATCACTTAGCGATGTTAAGCGATGAACCAAATCTATGTTTGTCATTAGTTTGACCAGGAAATCTTCACCGAGTCGAATACTCTTTCGAGAAGGTCCTTGCATTCAGATGTTTGGCCAGTTTCACGTGAATGCGTTTTTTGTAAACTCGAGTACCCGGGGAATACTCACACGCACAGGAGGGAATCACGATCACTGCAACAGATGGGTCCACAAACCTACCCAAGTGCTGTACTGCCATCGCTTAAATCACCTCTCGGCCCAAAGTTTGGAATTTGCACAAATCTGACCCCAAGTGCTGGACCAGAGCTGCCATGCACAACCACTGCTGCCCCCCCACCCCCCCCCCACTCTGGTTCTGCGGGTAAGCGGGTGAGGCTCCAGGCGTGGTTGCTGCTCAGCGACCAAGCAACAGAAAACCTTTCAATATTGGTACTGAGGGCAGCCCGAGTATATACAGCTTGTCTTAAGATTTTTGCGTTAGCTACACTGCAAATTAAGGAGTGCTGCGCTCCTTAGCTGCGTTACCAACCCTCCCACGCCGCTCGTGCGCCGTCTGAGACAAACTCTGCCATTTCCGTCAAGCGCCGGCAAGCACGTGAACGATCAAGCGCAGTGTGGCCGTTGCGTGTGGGCACGGCCCCACCTTCTGCATGTGCTGGTCCGTCTTGGCCATCTCTGCGAAGTAATCCTCTGGCCGTTTCGTCAGGATGTTGAGTTCTTGGAGTTTCGGCACGGCCAACAGCACGGCCGCCTGCGCCTGCCGGTAACTGCGGGACATAGGCATCACCGTTAGTGCCGTGATACGCGAGGCCGGGACGCTGCCACAGCCGTGTACAGTTAGCACTGTTGACTACGTACGGTACGAAAGAAGTTCAACATATATACATAGCAGTGCACTACTTGACTCACAATTCCAACCCTCATCTCCCCATTCTATCCAGGGACGGGGCAAGTTTCTTTAATCCCCTACCCACCTCGCCCCTCCTAAGCCTCCGTTCATCCAATTAGGTACAACACAGTCGATCGGCAAATTGAGTGTAGTGGGGTATATGGCTAGGCTCACTTCTTCCAAGACGTCTATAACCAGTGTGGAAGAGTAGGCCAAAATAGCCTCTAGAGGAGCTCTCGAGCTCCCTCGAGTGCAGGCCCTTCTGTCAGCAGTAGTGTGAGCAAGGAATTGCAGGGCTGCACTTTTAGCGATACGCGAAATAGTTTCCTTGCCATTGTCGGAGGCAAATGCTTAACGAGAATAGCGGAGTGACTGCGTCTGACCAATAAACAGAGTTTGTTGAAAAGTGTATTGGATCGAGAATGGTTGGTCCACAGAGCACACAACTTCAGGTACTCGTGTGACATCATTCTGGTCTGATTGGAAGTTGCCCACTCTGAGGAGCAGCGAACACATTTGTCTCAACTAGGGCAGGAAGCATCGACGTGGGAGCACAGAAGCACAGCACAACGACGAGATGTTATTGCACCGCACACCACGTAGCCCCGCAGCAGCCTATGGCACCCTGCTGTGAATGGCGGTCGCCTATCCAAGCACAGTCCAGGCTCAACCCTGCAAGGCTCCGATATCCGACAGGATCGGGGCACATTGAAGGGGATGATTTGACCGCAAGCAGGCGAGCGCTCGCCTCCGTGCATTTTCCAAACGCTTCTGTATCCTGACTACGTCGGCAGAAATAGCCACGCCGGCCCCCCCGCGTGCGTCGCTCACAAGAACATCTCCCTGCGGAAGTCGTTCTCCACGTCCACCCCGTCGCTGCCGGAAGCCTGCGCCTCGACGTCGGGCAGGGGGCCCACGGTAACATCCAGACGCTCCACCCAGGGCAGCAAGCGGCGGAACTCGCTAAGGCAGCTCTTCATCTGGTTCTGACGGGCGACACAAGACGCAGATTCCACCACGCAGGCTTTACCGACTGGCTGGGGGCGAGTGCTGCTGTGGCGAGGCCGCCGCGGCGCAAAAAGGGAACACGTGGAAAGAAGTGCACACGCACGCACACGGGCATAAACGGACACATGCACGCACGCACACACACAGAAACAAACACACCTACACAGAGGCACAAATACACGCACGACTCGTGCAGTTCACGTGACTCGAGCAGCCATGAGAGGCCACTGTTCACCGCAATTGTAGAAAAGGAGGAACAATGAGAGGGTGGATTGCCACGACCCATAAAATAAAAACTGTATTTTAAATCGTTCACTGGGAGACAAGCAGGATGGACCAGTGGTGACCAGACGGGATGAATTTACTTTCGATTGCCGCGCTCTCTTCGATACACGAGTAAAAGTGGCACCGTGCCTACAGTTACGATGGAGGTGGTGTCGTCTCCGAGCCGAGCTACCTTCAATTGCGCTACCAGTCTGCTGGCAGCTTAGTGTTTTTGGCCCGTTGCTCTCAGCAAGCGCGTGTTCGTTCTGGCGCTGCCACTCACCACGTTGTTGATGGGCGGCCTCCGCGCCTTGAGCTGCAGGTTCAGCCCAGGCTTCAGCTTCCCCTGTGCAAACGATTCCTGCAGCTGCACGGTGAGGGGAGAGGAGCACATGTTGTCATCACTACCAGACGTGTGGCAGCAGTGGTTAACCCATCATCACGGACGGCAACCGCTCACCATTATGCAGCAGCAACTTACCATTGCGAATGGAACAGACTAACAACGAATGACACAATAGAATGGCTCGCAGACTTTCATTTAGCCTGTCCCTCGCTCACAGTAAGGGCCAGATTTTAGATATCTTAACCCCACGACACCAGAGCAGAAGTCTCCCGCCTGCCCCTTACACACAAGACACAGGCCAAATTACACTACACGCAACAAAGATACGTACACAGATCCTCCCGTGTAGCACTTAACAGCCTATTGAGGCACGTGCCGTTAGCGAGCACCTACGCAGGCCGGAATGGCACGCGAGGTGGTGGGGTGGCTAGCATCACGCCCGCCCTCCTTTGTCTCCACAGCGCTGATGTTTACACATCGCACGAGGCACTCATTCAAGGCCGAGTCGACCAAAAAAAAAATCAGGGGGGGCCCCCATACCCCCTGGAAGATTTGACCCCCCCCCCCAATGTTGACCATGGCTACGGCCTTGTACTATATTCATTGCCCTGTGTGTACTACAAATTACACTCTGTATGTTTTGGGTACGGTATTCACATTGTGTACTGTGTGCGGTGCAGTAAAAGTGTACTGTATGTAGTAGTGTGTACTATGTGTGCGTACTGCACTGAGTGTACTGCACAGCGTGTGTAGCGTGTACTGTAGCGAGTGTATCGAATACTGTACTGCGTGTGTAGCGTGTATGTACTGTAGCGAGTGTTTTGTATTAAGTATTGAGTGTAGTGTGTACTGCACCGGGTGTGTAGCGTGTACTGTACCGCGTGTGTAGTGTGTACTGTAGCGAGTGTATTGTACTGCGTGTGTAGAGTGTACTACACCGCGTGTGTAGTGTGCACTGTAGCGAGTATATTGTACTGCGTGTGTAGAGTGTACTACACCGCGTGTGTAGTGTGTACTGTAGCGAGTGTATTGTACTGCGTGTGTTGCGTGTACTACACTACACACGCAGTGTGGTGTGTACTACACTATGCGTGTGTAGCATGTATTGTATTGAGTCTAGTGTGTACTGTAGCGAGTGTTGATGAACAGCGCGAGTGATCAATGAGAACACGAGGTGACCACGCGGACTAGGCAAATGGGGGCTTCTAACACGCGCGGCACGCGGCTTCGGCACTCCCAAACCGCCGGGCTCTTGTCTCCCCTACCCGCCTCCTCCTCCTCTTCCATCTCCCTGGGTCCCCGTAGCCCCCTCCCCACCACACTTCACCTCGCGATCGGAGTCGCCGGAGCAGGAATCTCCCTCCCCGTCCGAGCCGCTGTACGAAGCCGCCGCCGCCATCGCCATCGCTGCCTCGTGCGAAAATCTGCACGTGGCGAGGGCGCTTCCGCTTCCGGGTCACAATCCCCGCCCCCCTCCTCGCTCATTCGTTCTTTTAGCCCCGCCCACCACCCCCCGAACACGTTCCATTCATTGGCTACCACATTCAGATAAGCCCCTCCCCCTTAGCTTGTATTTAAGAGCTTGTCTCTTGGAATTTTTTGCCACATTTAATACAGTAAATTTAGCTGACGGTCCCACCTGATGACGGAGACTTGTGTTGCCTCCGAAACGTCGTGATTTATTATATTTCCATTATTATTTTCATTATTTATTATTTATTTTTACCTACGTGACTTTACAAGATCGTTACTATACCAGATCATCCATTCACACGAATGAACTCAGCAATTCATTAAGTCAATAAATAAATAAAAACCATTACGGGACTCCGTTTACATTCAATTGCCGACTTCATTCGACACTGAAATTCTGTACAATAAATCGTTCCATCACAAAACTAATTAATCGATTCATTCACGAGCTTGTCCGTGTGCGTGCCTGTGTACCGATAGGTCATTGGCTTATGAAATGTTGTTCGGGTCGTTAATACTTAAATTATCCTAGAGGCTCAAACGTAACGCCTGCTCAGCCCACAAGAGGTTTTTGTTGCTGACATGGTCAGCCCATCCTCACCACGCCGCCTCCACACTTACACCACAACCACGCTCGTTACTCAGGCACAATTTGGCTCATTTGGAAGCTTTTCAGGTCTGTTAAATGTACTGTATATATATATAAAACGCCGTGCAGTTTTAACCGCTGCATTGAATAGAAATGTACGCGATTAGCTTAGCCGCCTGGTCATGTGGTGCGGCACTTTGCACAAGCGCTCCCATGTGGTCGGTGAATTGGAGACATCGGCAAAAGCCATTTTCACAGTTTAATTCAGACACACACTGGGACAAATGGATGTCAAGACAAGGCCACATTTCTTTCCTGACGGGAAAAAAAAATATTCACAGTGGAAAATAAAAACACGAGTTTGTCAATGTAGGCAGCAGCAATAAAAACACAACTCATCAGTAACTCATTACCGAATGTCACAAAACGTGCTCCACACACATTTCACTTTAACACGAAACGGCATTAATACAGCAATGCGTTAATATGCATTAGCTCACGAAACAAATGTACTGTTCTCATAACTGCACCGTTGAAATGCAGTGGATATTTACAATTCACCAACATGGCTGCAAGGTAAAGGCCAAGCTACACCGGATACTTTAGGGCAACTGTTGCCAGCCATCGTCAGGGGCAATGGTTACAAGTTTTCTGTTCTAATTTAGCTGCCCAAATACGCACAACTGGGATGGCAAATTCCAATCCGATCACAGACTTGTCACATGGGCCACCCACAGTTGCATCCCCTGTAAACCAACCACCATTCGTCAAATAAACATAATACTGCTTTCTTTGGCACGACAAATCTCACGTCACTTTATGCCATTGCCGTACCAAGCTGTCAAGAGATGATAAAAGTATATGGATTGCTAGTGGCAGCTGCCGAAAAATATTGTCCCAGAATTGCCCTCGGTGTTATCATGGCCTGAATGTAACACTGCTTGAGACCAACCTCACTCCCGACACCGGGATTACGCTGAACTCACAATATTCATCGTGCAGCAGTGGTCGCTAATGTGCAATTAATCCGACATGCTGGGGTACAAAGAGACGAAGCAGTCAGGGCCGGATTTGCGGGTGGGGAGCGGGGGCAGGGAAAACTGGACATTTGTTCAGGGCCCAAAATTCCAGAGGGACCCCTAAAAAAAATATGACATTGTATTCATAATTGAACTGTTTATCATTGGCATTGGAGTGCATCACCGCAACGAGGTTCGAGGATGATGTGTATGGGTAAGGGCGTAGAGAAGGGGGTGAGGGCTGTGTCGTTTCTGCTCTGGTGTCCTGGGGACATAGACACCCAAATCCTCCGGCCCTGGTAGCAGTTGAACGTTGAGTTCTCCCTGTCTCGTGGATCCCCAGACACCACCGCCATGGTGAAGGCAGAAGTCCGCATGCGCCACCAACACTGGGGCACGTGCCAGGAAATGGCACGGTACTTCATCATTTACCAAGCATTCATGAGCGTCGGCAGGAGGGTGGGCAGCATTAATGTCGACAAGTGGGTGGACGAGAGGGGAGGGGGGCGAGCTCCACACTCGGAGATGGGCACGTCAGAAACTGGCAAGGGTGTCTTGCTCCAGGAGGGTGCTTTCCACCTGGCGCCCGAACAGGAAACTGTGCACGCCCGGCCTCATCTGCTCCGCTGTAGCCATCACCACACTGAGGTCACCCTTGTCGGTCAGGTCCAGCTCCTTCTTAACCTTCCCCAGCGATTGCAGCGGCTTCTTCCCCTGCTGCCTGCGCGGGGTGGGGTTGCGGAGGGGGGGGTCAGGAGACGGCGCTCAAATCGCCGCACCACTGTGGTGGTCAAATTTTACATTCGCTCGGTTTCTATGACCGAGTGGGAGAAATAACTTGAGGCGGGTGTGGTGGCGCAAGACTATGATTGAGCTCACGTCTCATCCTCGATGTGGAAGAGCAGAGCCAGCGCCTTGCGCTGCAGCAGGAGCACAAAGCGCGCGAGGAACGGTAGCCGCTCGCCAACGTCAACCATGAATACCTGGCACACGGAGCACGGAGCACGTTCACTCTGCAGGAAATCGTTTTGATGGTCATGGGAGCTCAATCAAAACGTGGCAGGAGAATTCACAACCGGCGTTAAGAAGCGTCCCACCCACCTCGTTAATGAAGGTGCTGACCAGCGTGTCCGGGACAGGAACCTCTTGAAAGTAATTTCTAGCAAAGGGAAGTTAATTAAATAAAAGCTTCGTTAATCCCTAATCAAGCAGTCAGCGCGATGATGTATACGCAACTGAGGATATCGATCCGAGCAGAGTTTCTCAACTCCAGTCCTCACTACCCCCCATGGCACATCTTTTCGTGATTACCAGTCTCTTCTATTCATATGTAATAATTAATACGCTGCACACCGCATACACCGGATGGTTGGAAATCACACAAGGCTGTACCATGTTGGAACTAGAGTTGAGACACACTGGATAGAGTGTAAATACGCAAGGATACATGAATTCATGATTACAACAAATTGTTTGGCTCACACTACACATATAAAATTAAGCGTGTGGGAATTATTTCTGATTTAAATTTTTTTTATTAAAACAACATACTAATGCAACAGGTAGGATATAGGCGCTCAGAAATCATTACGTGCCGAATCATTATTAATGATTACATGCACTCCTAAACAGAAGCCTGCGTTCTTGTTGTCGTTGTCTGGACATGCCGTGCGCACGGCTCACATGTCCTGGATGGGCGACGGGGCGCAGAGCTGTGTGGGGTCGCTCCAGTAGCGCACGAGCTCGCTGCGCAACAGCTTGTGCTGCCGGAAGACGTGCACGTGTTTCGGTGGCGTCTGGAACACGCTGTACGGCCTGTCCACGTCCACCAACGAGCTTGGCATGGGCGCCAGCACCACGGAACGGAAGGGCAGTGTCAAGATGCCATCCTTGTCCTGGCACAGGGGGTGAAGGGATTGTGCAAGCTCCTCACCCGCCAACGAGACCACATCACACCGAGATTTCTCATCCCTCCACTGGCTCCCAATTCAATCCCAGAATAAGTTCAAGCTCATACTTTCTATTTTTCAAGATCCTTCGTGGACTCGCCCCTACCTACCTCTCGCCTCGTTGCAATCCACTCTCATTCATGTGCTCTCCGCACCAGCAATCAATGCCTTCTATCCAAGCCCACAATTAACCCTCACTTGACAGGATGTAGCTCCTTCTCCTCTGCTGTCCCTATATTTTGTTAATGCTTTGCCCCAACCATCTGTGCTGCCAACTCCCTGCCTCTATGTTCCAGGCCAGGTTACACATTCCTGCGAAGGGAGCTGGTCGGAACGTTGGGTTGCTCGGTCAATGGCCAGGGTCAACGGCGGCGTGCTGTATTCCGCAAATATGCTCGACTGTGAGGGCGGGCACAAGCCGGCGTGAGTAGGTTAAACGTTGAGTTTTATAAGGGCACCACGGGATGACCAGCCCCTCCCCACCCAGCCCCACCCCTCCCACCCCCCACCCAGCCCCACCCTCCCCAACCTCCCCACCCAGCCCCTCCCCACCCTCCCCACCCAGCCCCACCCTGCCCTCCCCACCCAGCCCCTCCCTCCCCACCCAGCCCCTCCCTGCACGACGGACGGACACAATAATCCCCTGTGGGTTGGTGTAACCAAGAGGTTCCTACCAGTAAAAGACCTTCCTTCTCTCCTCTGGCTAAGACTGTAACTTCCCTGTGATGCATGTCCCACTGTGTTGTGCAGCATCTTGCAATATGGCTGCATATAGACGCTGTATTAATCAACATTGAAGTCGTATTTTAACGAGCTACGTGAGAACATGTGACGGATCAACCGGCACGTGTCGCCCAGGACTGACCGCCGAGCGCATACCTTTAGGAGTCCCTGCACCACCAGGCCATACTCGTACTTGTCCTTGGCTTCAGGATCGGCCAAACGCGAGCAGCGCCGCTCTGCCGGGCTCAGGAAGAGACACAGCGTCTTCACCATCTGCACGCACAGGCATCACCCCCAAGACATTAAATTTACTGTGAGCACGGTTGCGTAGCGTGGCTGGCATGGGCCTTGATGCAAGCAAAGCAATGGGGTCCCCTGTCTGCTTTTCCCCCGTTTCATAGCCTGGGCCCCTCCCTGGTCATGAGTGCTGGTGCTGTTGCCTTCCCTGCACATTTGATAACCATGCCACTCTATAAGCAACTATGACTAAATGGTACAGCAAACGCATCAATTTCTGTCTGGCCAACAGTGATGTCTGCGCAGCACATACCATCAAGTAGTTATATTATGAAGTCCGTGATGTAATTGCAGGTTGCCACCCCAGTTTCTCACTCAGCAGGAGCAGCGATATTTGTCCAATTTTGGACAACTACATTTGTCAGCACGATATATGACCAAAAACGATTGCTGCCAATGAT